CTCTGATATCCAGAGAGACTTGAAACTGGATATCAGAGTTCGTTCTAGGAAAAATTAGGAGCTGGAGTAGGCCATTCAGCCACTTAAACCTGTTCCACCATTCAATGAGATCATAGCTGATCTGCTGGTTAATTCCATATACCGGTCTTTGGCCCATATCCCTGAATACCATTTCTTAACAAGAATTTATCTATCTCAGATCTAAAATTAACACTGATCTAGCATCCACTGCCATTTGTGGAAGAGAGTTCCAAACATTTACCACCCTTTGTGTGTAAGGGTTTAACTTAGATAAATGTGAGGTGCTGCATTATGGAAAGGTAAATCAGAGCAGGACTTATACAGTTAATAGTAAGATCCTGGGGTTGCTGAACAAAGAAATTTTGGAGTGCAGGTTCATGAAAGTGGAGTTGCAGGTAGACAGGCAGCATTTGGTATGCTTGCCTTTATTAGCGTTGAGTGTACGAGTTGGGAGATCATGTTGTGGCTGTACAGGGCATTGGTTAGGCCACTTTTGGAACACTGAGTTCAATGCTGGTCTCCCTGCTATAGGAAGGATGTTGTGAAACTTGAAAGAGTTTAGAAAAGATATACAAGAATGTTGCCAGGTTTGGAGGGTTTGAGCTACAGGGAGAGTGTTGGAAGCTGAAGGGTGGCCTTATAGAAGTTTACAAAATCATGAAGGGCATGGATAGGGTGAATAGCCAAGGTCTTTTCCACTGGGTAGGCAAGTCCAAAACTAGAGGACATAGGTTTAAGGTGAGAGGGGAAAGATTTAAAAGGGACCTAAGGGGCAACTTTTTCACACAGAGGGTGGTGCGTGTATGGGATAAGCCACCAGAGAAAGTGGTGGAGGCTGGTACAATTGCAACATTTAAAAGGCATTTAGATGGGTGCGTGAATAAGAAGGGTTGAGCGGGATATGGGCCAAATGCTGGCAAATAGGACTAGATTAATTTAGTATATCTGGTTGGCATGGATGAGTCAGACCAAAGGGTCTGTTTCCATGCTGTATATCTCTATGACTCTATGACTGTAAGTTCCTTTCTGTAATCACTGGAAGGTCATACGAGGTCAGCTTGTCTTGCTGTAATGATGTTATATATAATATTGTTGACTGTCCATGTAGAGCTCCATCATAAAGGGGGACAAAACTAAAGATATCCTCCCTAATAGCATTGTGGGTCAACCCACAGCAGGTGGACTGCAGTAGTTTAAGAAGGCAGCTCACCATCACCTTCTCAAGGGCAACTATGGACAGACAATAGTTACTGGCCAGCTAGTGACGCCCGCATCCCACAAATGAATAAAGAAAAAATAAAGAAGCCAATTAAGCTGTTTCCAGAATAAGTTGTAAAATTCTTTGAAGTGCATCCACAGAACACAATTCTTTGTGAGATATTGTGAAGAGACACAAGACATTGGGAATTAATTCAAATGCTCTTTCAACTGGCAATGTGGTTTTCTGAGGTCCCCCAGCTTTAGGTCAATTTCAAATTGTGATGTCTATTTTGTGCCATTATCCACACAAAACCATTTGGGAACTTACATCCATAGAATGTGGCAATATGCCTCAGAAAACTAACATAAGGAGCAATGATGAAGGGTAAATCAAGGCAGCTAGGGATCGGCAATAAATGTGAGCCCAGCCAGCAACATCCACATCCCATGAATGAATTTTAAAAATCTAGTTTCTGCAAAAGAAGTGCAATCAACTGAAAAGTAAAATGTCATGATTAACTTAAAATGCCCTCTCCTACAGGTCAGGGCATCCAAATACTACCTAGTCCAATGGTTCCCAACCTTATCAGTAACATGGCACAACACAATAAGACAAACAATTTCACAGCACATCCACTTTTTTAAGCTGAAATGATTGCTTATAAACATCACAATTACTTGCATGTAGCATGGTTACAGTTTTAATCATGAGGCTTGTAACATAGTGCATACAACAAGCTAAACAAGGATCAAGTGCATTAATGTTTCACTTTGATAATGCCACATTTACAAAATCGGCTCAACTCAACTAGTTCTAACTATTAATGGCCATAAATCTGTTCCACACGCTGCATTGAACCAATACATAATTGAAATTCAATGGATCACAGCAAATGCAAAGTAGTCTGAATTGTAATTTAACGGGTTAGTGGGATACCTCAGTCTGTTGGTGTGCACAGAGCCTTCTGATCTGAGGCCGAATTAATTAGAGGGCCATTCATAAATCTTGCTTCTGGTATTAGCTTGTTTTGTCTCAGTTCAACAATAACACATGTGAATGCTGTTGCTTGGTTATTAGTTTAAATTAAGCCAAGATCTCAATTTTGCCTTTTGACCCCCTCCATTTAGAATGTTCGCTTTTAATTTGATGGTTAATTTTCACAAGTTTTAGTTTAATTTTGGTTTAAGTTGAGATGAAACATTGATTTTTCTTACCTTTGTACAAATGTTCATGGCACATGTGGACAGTTCTACTGTGCCGCAGCTCACTAGTTGAAAATCACTGACCTAGTCTATTCAAGAAAAAGCCATGAGATCAGTGTGTGACTAGTTTTAAACAAATAATGAGGCTGTGAAGAGTCCAGTTGGCTCATTTTCTTTCCCCTCAACAAGTGAAACTGACAATGAATTGGTTGCACTGATCTGTGCAGCTGATGTTACTTTGAAGGTCTCCAATACCAGTGAAATTGTGTAAATTGCTTCCTGTCTATATTACTACTACGATAGCCTACCTGGCTATCACCAACTCATTATAGATATTCGCAGAAATACTTGTAAAACAAGAAATTCTTAAAACCAAAATGTTTTAAATTTACATGCCTACCAGAGGTACGATCTTTAAGAATTGGATTTTGGAAGCCTTTTGAAGTAAGTCACTGACCTCAACCCTGAAATAAAAATTGTAACCTGTGATAAGCTAGCGCAAATAGAACCTGACTTGTTCTTGTTTCAATATCCTCTATCAATATTGACAAAGATGATTTGAATAAAATGGAGACAGAAACTAATTGAACTTCTTAATTTCTGCCTGTGTAAAAGGGACTAGAAAAATATGAGGATCTAAATTTTTTTCATTCTTGTCCACTTGGTCAGAGTGAATATATTAACACAGTGGACAAGAGTAGCCATACCATCATGACAGAAGTATGAGCTTTAGGCTGCATGGGCACAGATTCCATTTTTTTCTGTACCACCAATTTGTCTTCACAGTCTAACATTGTACGTAGAGGCTGAAAATACAAGACACATAGGAAGTTGTAAAGAATCGTTGATGCATAATTAAACCAGTCCTAAGTCAATGGGATGATTATCAGAACTTTAATTCTTAGGCAGGATTGGTTGACTGGCAGAAGGCAGAGAGTAGGGATAAAGGTGTCTTATTCAGGATGGCAGCCAGTGACTAGTGGAGTTCCGCTGGGGTCACTGTTGGGACCACAACTATTTATGTTACACATTAACAATATCAATGAAGGAACTGAGGGCATTAATTGCTAAGTTTGGAGATGACACAAAGATAGTTGAAGGGACAGGTAGGGTTAAGGAAGCTGAGAGGCTGCAGAAGGACTTGGACATATTAGGGAGCAGGCAAAGAAGTGGCAAATGGAATACACTGTGGGAAGGTGTGCCATTATGCATTTTGGTAGGAAGAATAGAGGTGGAAAGGCAGACTATTTTCTAAAAGGAGAAAGGCTTTGGAAATCTGAAGCACAAAGGGACTTGGGAGTCCTAGTTCAGGACTCTCTTAAAGTTAAGCAGGTTCAGTTGGTGTTAGGAATAGTATTCATTTCACGAGGGCTAGAATAAAAGAGCAGAGATGTACTGCTGAGCCTATATAAAGCTCTGGTCATATCGCATTTGGAATGTTATCGGCAGTCTTGAGTCATATATCTAAGGAAGGATGTGCTAGGCTTTGAGAGGTCGAAAGGAGGTTTACGAGAATGATCCCAGAGATGAAGTGATTATCATATGAGGAGCAATTGGGGACTATGGGTTTGTACACAATGGAGTTTAGAAGGATGAGGAGGGCTCTGACTGAAACTTACAGAATACTGAAAGGCCTGGATAGACTGGACGCAGAGAAGAGTTTCCACGAGGAGGAGAGGCTAGGGCTAGAGGGTACAATGTCAGGGTGAAGAAATGACCCTTTAGAACTGAGACGAGGAGGAGTTTCTTCAGCTAGAGGGTAGTTTATCTGTGGAACCCATTGCTGCAGTGGGCTGTGGAGGCCAAGTTATTGAGTGTATTTAAGACAGAGATGGATAGGTTCTTGATTGGTAAGGGGATCACGGGTTACAGGGAGAAGGCAGGAAAATGGTGTTGAAATACATAGGAGCCATGATTGAATGGTGTGCAAATTCAGTGGGCAGAATAGCCTAATTCTGCTGCTGCATCTTATGGTCTTTTAGGAATAGCATTGAACATTCAACATTGGATGATTATTGGGATAGAAATGATGTGAAAGGATATGAGAAAAAGGCAGGAGATTGGATGATTATTGGGACAGAAATGATGTGAAAGGATATGAGAAAAAGGCATGATGGGCAAAATGGTCTCCTTCAATGCTGTAACAGTCCTGTAATTCTGTGAACATAACAGAGATCAATTGAAATTACATTTGTCTCCATTCCTACATTCAAAGTTACTGTCTGTAAAACGTTTGGAGCATCTTGAGTTGTGAAATATAAAATATTAACTGAAAACTTTCTTTCAAAAGGTTGACATACATTAATAAATTTCAAGAAAAGAAAGAAAATTGAAGTAACAACCATCAAATAGTAATCAAAACACTGCAGGGTTCATGGCTACAAGTTTGGTCTTCAAATGTAGTGAGAAAATAACTTTTAATAGTACATGCGTACACATTGCTTAGCAGTGTAGGAGGGAAAGAAAGACTTCACTTTGTGTTATTTGCTGCTGCACCTCTTACACTTCCACCAATCAAGAACGAAATTAGCTCCAATCTACTTTGATTTGTTGTTCAGAAGCCTGGGTAGGGGTTGAATAGCTGTTTTGGAAGGCAGTATAATGCCAAAAACACGGGTTTAATTCTTGCGCCAGCTGAGGTTGCCAATGAAGGACTCTCCTCAATCTCTCCCCTGACCTGCAGTGTGGTGACCCTCAGGTTAAACCACTACCACTTGTTTCTTTCTAATGAGAAAACAGCCCCATGGTCACCTGGAACTGCGGTGACTTTAACTTTACTGTTTCTGATGGTGCATTTGACTATTCCCTGGTTGTGAAGTATTTTGTGGAGTTAGGGAGAGGCATAGGATGTGACTGCTAACTAAATAATTTCTAACAAAGTTGGTTAGAGAGATCACTATGATGCAACTTTTTCACCTCCAGCACATGGGTCAATATTTTGCCAAGGTGACAAGGATGTTGCCAGGGTTGGAGGATTTGAGCTATTGGCAGAGGCTGAATAGTCTGTGGCTATTTTCCCTGGAGCATCGGAGGCTGAGGGAGGTTTATAAAATCATGAGAAGCATGGATAGGGTGAACAGCCAAGGTCCTTTCCCCAGGACTGGGGAGTCCAAAACTAGGGGGCATCGGTTTAAGGTGAGAGGAGAAAGATTTCAAAGGTGCCTAAGAGGCAACTTTTTCACGCAGAGGCTGTTGAGTGTAGGAATGAGTTGCCAGAGGAAATGGTGGAGGCTGGTACAATTACAACATGTAAAAGGCATCTGGATTGGTATATTAATAGGAAGGATGTAGACGGATATGGGCCAAATGCTGGTTAAATGGGACTAGATTAATTTAGGATATCTGGTCAGCTTGGACGAATTGGAATGAAGGGTCTGTCTCTGTGCTGTATATCTCTATGACTCTATCTGAGTACGTGCCGATGAAATCACCCTGTTATGTTTTTAACTAAGCTCCACTGCATCTTGTGCTCCACAGTACTTGACTGGCTAGTGGGGGCCTTCTCCTGGAATCAAGGATCAAATGTGAGTTAGTGGATTACCACATTTATTTGGCATATCAGTAACAATTTATGAAAGAAAATTCCCAAGTCAATAAAAGCGATTTGTAATACTTGCAACATGGCTCCTAGTTATAGCACCACTTGTAATATATATTTGTAACTATCTGCACCATCATTTTACAATTGTATCACTTAAAATATTATCTTCCTTGAGTTTCTCCAGATTTTGGACAACCCAGTTTTGGACAGACAAATCAAAGCTTTAAAGACACACTGTTCAAATGATGTAGCCATATGATAGTTTAATACATGTACCATAACTCTTCTTGAAATCCTAGTAGCAGCTGCCCTTTCACCAAAAACATGCACTTAAGTAGCTCTGAGGTATTTAACAGATTCCATTCAGCTACTTACGTAACATATTTTAAGATGGCTTTGCATTGAGTATCTTCTTGTAGTTCTGATGAATGTGTGCTGGCATGGGTTTTGGGCCATATATATAATGAGCCACCGAGACCATTTAGGACGAAAGCCTCTGAATTTACCTTTGAAATCAGTTCTTTCATGGCTTCCTTAAAGCCTGCTTTGATTCCTTGTTCTGAATTCAATGAAGAGAAAGTAAAATACGTTATAAATGCTGTTGATGCCCACATTACAGCTTAAGTCTTCTATTACGCTTCTGTAAGTAACAAAATGCCATGCTTATATAGGGTGCAAATTTGAAAAATTACATGCATGCCAAGCTAAATGCTATGCTGCTAAACATGTTTTAAACCCAATCTTCTTTGATTCTAGCCACCAATCATACATAGACAGACAGATAGACACAATTAAGGGATAAGTTAAAAGAAAAGAATAAATGAAATGTAATTAGCCAATTCACTTAAGCAGTTTCAATGATGCATGGAATCACAGGCACATGGGATTGCATTTTTGTTTCAGAGATAGTAGGAACTGCAGATGCTGGAGAATCTGAGATAACAAGGTGTAGAGCTGGATGAACACAGCAGGCCAAGCAGCATCAGAGCAGCAGGAAAGCTGACGTTTCGGGCCTAGACCCTTCTTCTCCATTTCTGAAGAGGGGTCTAGGCCCGAAATGTCAGCTTTTCTGCTCCTCTGTTGCTGCTTTGCCTGTTATGTTCATCCAGCTCTACACCTTGTTATCTGGGATTGCATTTTACTTGATTTCTGAAGACACCAGTCAATGCAAATAGCTTCCAGTAATTTTTAAGGAATATTCACTTAATTCTTACAACAGGAATTCTGTTCTCTGAACTTTCAATAGTTTGATAATGGGAGAATAACCAGGGAGTAGCCAGACCTTGTTCCTGTAGCATTCACAGCCATAATCCTTCTGGTTCCTCTTTCTGTTTTTTCCAACATGCTGTTTTGGCTCTGGCCTTCCTGTGATGACCCTTGATCTGAACATCTGCCAACGCTTGAGCACAATGCATCTCCAGAGCCTAAATGTCTATAATGTTCTTTGAACAAGAAACAACTAGCAATTAAATTCCAGGCCAGGCCCTATGAACAAATATCATTTTGGTTGTTCTTCCTTTTGTTTGAAACAAACTGCCCCTCGTTGTCCAAAATCACCTCAACTCTCAAATGATTAAAGAAAACAGTGAGAGATTTATCAGTAGCTGCTTTTGATAGCCTCAACTTCAGTACCTCTGGGCTCTGAGAGCAATAGTGATCTCGCTGGCTCCAAGAGCTCCGACAGCATTCTGTCTTTCTTGGGTGTTTTTTGTTGTAATTGGCGAGAGAAACAACTTATACGTTTTGATTTCCCTTTCGATTCCAATCAGGTTCAACAACACCAAAGTTACGTTTAGTTGCTAGGTGCCTAAATATCAGCATTAATCAACTGTTGCATTTAATTCTTGTTTTATGCTTTAGAAGATCGTTGTGCATGTTATATTTTTCTTGGTCACAAGTAGGCTGAGTCCTAATCATTTTACTCAGGTTGTAAAAATGTAAAAAATATTCCTAATATTTCTGCTGGAGAATTAGAAATGGCGAAGTAAAAGCTTTTACATTGTGATTGCAAAACTGCCTTTACACCTTCAAAACATTGCTGTTACTTTTTATTGCCAATGTGGAATAGAGAGAATAGTTCTGAACACACATTATAGAATCATAGAATCCCTACAGTGTGGAAACAGGCCATTCAGCCCAACTAGCCCACACTGCCCCTCCAAAGAGCATCCCACCCAGACCCATTCCCCTATCCCTGCATTTCCCCATGTCTCACCCACTAACCTAAATATTCCTGGACAGTAAGTGCAATTTAGCACAGCCAATCCACCTACCCTGCGCATCTTTGGACTGTGGGGGGAACTTGGAGCACCCGGGGGAAACCCACACAGACATGAGGAGAATGTGCAAACTCCACACAGACAGTCGGCCGAGGGTGGAATCAAGCCTGGGTCCCTGGCGCTGTGAGGCAGCAGTGCTAACCACTGAGCTACCGTGCCAATGGTAAATCGAGCATAGGCTTTGCCATATTCATTAGTAATACAATAATGAAACTAATCTGTTAAAGCTATCAAGCTTGTTGGATCTTAGATTTTTGTACACTGAACACAGCCTGGCTCAGTGGTTAGCACTGCTGCCTCACACTGCCAGCAACCTGGGTTCGATTCCACTCTTGGGCAACTGTCTGTGTGGAGTTTGCACATTCTCCCTGTGTCTGCGTGGATTTCCTCCAGGTGCTGCGGTTTCCTCCCACAGTCCAAAGATGTACAGGTTAGGTAAATTGTCCCTGCTAAATTGCCCATAGTGTTCAGGGATGTGTAGATTAGGTCGGTTACAGGGGAATGGGTCTGGGTGGAATGCTCTGAGGTTCAGTGTGGACTTGTTGGGCCAAAGGGCCTGTTTCCACACTGTACAGATTCTATACAGAATTTTAGCACACAAAATCCTATTGCTTAGAAGATTTTAAAAATTCTATTTAATCAATTGTAGAAAAACCCATATAGATAATATAAAACAGAATGATTTAAATACTAAGAAATCTGTAATAAGCAAATTACTCACCGTCTGTTTTATTGGTGACTCCTTCCAACTCAATGCCTCCCTTTAATCGAAACAACAAATTTTCAGTATCAATTGGCAGCTGAAATAAATTGGTTGAAAATATAGTAATGAATCTAAATAATATGTTAAATATGCTGTGCAACTTACACATTCTTTCCTACTGTTTTATTAGATTTGAGCATCTATTCCCTGTTCTTTTTTAAATTCTTCCACGGGGATCTGGGAGTCACTGGAAAAGGCAGCAAATTAGCTGTCCTTGACAAACTGCTGTTGAGCATCTTTCTTGAACCATGCAGTCCACCTGGTACATGTATGTGCTGCTGGGAAGAGAGTTTCATGGTCTTGAGCTCACAACAGTGAAGGAATAGTCATAGTTTTTGCAAGGCTATTGGTTTGCCTTGTGAATAACAGCTTGTAGTCAGAGAATTCATGTCATAAAACTCTACATAAATAAAATCTTTTCAGACCTGTATCTTGATTTGGTGAGAAAATTAATCTAATCCGTCAGAACCTGGACAGTGCGCAGAGTAAGGGTAATAAAAACAAGAAATATTGGAAATATATCTGGTAAATGGTCACAGACCTGAAACGTTAACTCCTTTTCTCTCCATAATTGCTGCCTGACCTGCTGAGTACTTACAGTAATTCCTTTTTTCAGCTGCAGTATATAGATTTTGTGACAGAATAAGCTATGTTATGATTGCTGAACACTATGCTTTAACTGACTTTTGGCAAAATGAGTAAATGTAGTGAATGTAAGATCCACTTATGGGAGCAATCGGTGATACAGCCTGAGACTGTTAAGAGTTTAATAACCCAAAAACATGGCATCAAATCTAGGAATTCAATTAGAATGTGGAATGGGCTTCATGATTGTAAACTTGAACAATCCCATGCCAATAAAAACTTTGTCCTCCTTCAATACCCATCTGGAAGGTCAAATGAGACAAATTGCTTAATCCTAAGGAAGATTTTTCTTTATGATGCTGTGATAGTTGAATTGTATTCTTTTCCAAATGACTAAAAGAAGATGACTTCAATTTTTCTTTGTTCAAATTTATCACTGTCATAATTGTCCATCTTTGTGTCGTATCCAAGATGCAAGAGTCACAGAATCATAGAATTGTAAAATTTTATAGTACAGAAAGAAGCCATTTGACCCATCGTGTCTGAACTGGCTCCTGAAAATGTATATTTATCTTATCCCATATTATAGCCTGCTTCAGTTTTCCCATTATTGATGTCAAACTGACAGGTCTGTAGTTTCATGAGTTATCCTTAGCCCCTTTCTTAAACAGTCCTCTAGTCCCTAAGAATAATCCCATGTTCAGAGACACTGGGAAAATTATAAAGACATATTGATTAGACCAGGAGGTAACAAGGTGTAGATCTGGATGAACACAGCAGGCCAAGCAGCAACAGAGGAGCAGGAAGGCTGACGTTTCGGGCCTAGACCCTTCTTCAGAAATGGGGGAGGGTAAGGGGATTCTGAAATAAATAGAGAGAGAGGGGGAGGCGGATAGAAGATGGATAGAGAAGAAGATGGGTGGAGAGGAGACGGACAGGTCAAGGAGGCGGGGATGAGGCTGGTAGGTAGGAGGTGGGGGTGGGGATTGAGGTGGGAGGAGCGGACAGGTGGGAGAAAAGACGGGCAGGTTAGGGAGGCAGGGATGGAGCCAGTAAAGGTGAGTGTAGGTGGGGAGTTAGGGTGGGGGTAGGTCAGTCAAGGGAAGACGGACAGGTAAAGGAGGCGGGGATGAGGCTGGTAGGTAGGAGGTGGGGGTGTGGATTGAGGTGGGAGGAGCGGATAGGTGGGAGAAAAGACAGATAGGTCATGGAGGTGGGGACAAGCTGGGCTGGTTTTGGGATGTGGTAGGGGGCGGGGAGATTTTGAAGCTTGTGAAATCCACATTGATACCATTGGGCTGCAGGGTTCCCAAGCAAAATATGAGGTGCTGTTCCTGCAACCTTCAGGTGGCATCGTTCTGGCACTACAGGAGGCCCAGGATGGACATGTCCTACTGTCTCTTGATTAGACCAGGCTTGTGTCTTCTTAAGTGCATGAAGTAAAAAAGTGTACTGAATGACATGTTTAAGATGATTAAAGGATTTCATCTGATCTATTTTGATAAACTGCTTCCTCTGGTCATGAAGACCACAACAAAGGGGCATTAAACTTAGCACTTGAGTTAATTACTTAAAGGCTGAGATCACTTCTTCATGCAAAGGATGGTATTAATCTGGAACTTCTTACCCTGTCAAGTTTTTGAGACTGAGGTCATTTGAAAATATCCAAACCAATATTGATCTGTGTTTATGAAGGACAGGTAATAGGGTTTACCAATCCAAAGTGGGTGTTTAGAGGTAACATATGGATCAGCCATAATTTGTTTGGCTTCACGTGGATTCCACAGGCTGAATTAATTACTCCTGACCCGAATGGATATTTTAAATCAATCTGTACACACATGTTACACCACACTTTTGGAACAGGTCGATTGTCAGGCCCAGAAGTAGGGACATTACCACTGCACTGCAAAAGCCCTTCCTATGTTCCAAATATGCTTCCTATGATTACATGACCAGAACTGTACTAAATTCCAGAGACGTAATTAATTGCTGAGATATTCCAGTCAGCAGCAAAACTGGACGTTGCCTGTGATATTTTCTCTGATGTGGTGATATCACTGATTTGCTGAAGTAGCTATTCTAAAGCACATCCAGCAATAGCAGGAGAGTGGAGGGAAAGAGGGGACACACCTACTTTTTATGATGAGAGCTGCTGTCTAAAGCTATGTCTTTAGAGAAATTAAATCTTTTAACATGCAAATTAGTGAATGGATGCATAGGTTAAATATTTTTAAGAATGCAGTCATGAGATATGGGCATCACTGGCTAAGTCAACATTTATTGTCCATCACTAGTTGCCCTTTAGAAGATGGTAGTGAGCTGTCTTCTTGAACTGCTGCAGTCCATTTGGTATGAGTAGACCCACAATGCAATTAGAGGAGGGGTTCTAGGATTTTGACCCAGTGACATTGAAGGAATGGGGATGTCTTTCCAGGATGGTGAGTGATTTGGAGGGGAACCTGCAGGTGGTGGTGTTTCTATGTATGTGTTGACCTTGTCCTTTTTGTAATGGTTGTGTGTTTTGAAGGCGCTATCTGAGGACTCTTGCTAAATGTTTGTAGCATTTCTTGAACATTGGTACACACTGCTTCTTTAGAGCATCTGTAGTGGAGGGAGTGAATGTTTGTGATTCTGATACCAATCAAGCAGACTGCTTTGTTCTGAATGATGTCAAGCCTCCTGAGTGTTGTTGAAGCTGTATTCATCAACTGGGGAGTATTCCATCACACTCCTGCTTTGTGCCTTGTAGATGGAGAACAGACTTTGGGGAGTCAGGTGGTGAGTTAGTTGCTGTAGGATACTTAGCCTCTGACCTATTCTTGTATTTAAATGGATAATTCAGTTCAGTTTCTAGTCAAATAGTAATCCCCAGGAAGTTGATAATGGGGTATTCAGTGATGGTAATGCCATTGAGTGTCAAGATGTGATAGTTAGATTCTCTTTTGCTCGAAATGGACATTGCCTGACACTTGTGTGTCACAAATATCACTTGCCACCCCTCAGCCCAACTCTGGAAATTGTCCACGGCTTGCTATATTTGGACATGAAGTTTCTTCAGTATCTGGGGAGTTCTGAATAGTGAAAACAATTTGCAATCATCTGGAACCTTATGAAATTCTGACCTTATGATAGTGGAAATGTCACGGATAATGCAGCTAAAGATGGCTTGGCCCAGAATACTACCCTGAAGTATGTCTACAGAGTTGTCCTGGAGTTGGATGACTGACCTGCAACAACCTTAACCATCTTCTTTTGTGCCACGTATGACTCTATGCAGTGGTAAGATTTCCCCTTGATTCACATTGACTGCAATTTTCCTAAGGTTTCTTAATGCCACACACTGTGAAATGATGCCATGATGTCAAGGGCAATCATGTTCATCTTAATCTGGAACTCAGTTCTTTGTCCATGTTTGAACCAAGGCTGGAATAAGGTCAGGAATGAGTGGCGTAGGTGGAACTCCAACCGAGTGTCAGTTAGCAGGTTATTGCTAAGCAGGTTTTGCTTGATAGCACTGTTGATAATATCTTTTATCGCATTACTGATGATTGAGAGTAGACTGATGGGGTGGTAATTGTCCAGGTTGAATTTGTCCTACTTTTTGTGTACTTGACATATGTGAGGAATTTGCCACATTATTGGTTAGATATCAGTGTTATAGCTTTACTGGAACAGCTTAGCTAGATGAATGGCAACTTCTGGAGCACACATCTTTGGGACTATGACTGGAATGTTGTCAGGCCTATAGTCTTTGCAATATTCAGTACCTCCAGCCATTTCACAATATCGCAAATTGGCTGAAGACTGGCATCTGTGATGCTGGGGCCCTCTGATGGAGACCAAAATGGAGCATCCACTCAGCATGTTGCAATTGCTTTGGCCTTATCTTTTGCACTGATGTGCTGGGCTCTGCCATTGTGGAGGATGAGGATATTTGTGGAACACAGAAACATAGAAACATAGAAGATGGGAACAGGAGGAGGCCATTTGGCCCTGTGAGTCTGCTCTGCTATTCATCACAACCACGGCTGATCATCTAACTCAATAGCCTAATTCTGCTTTCTCCCATAACCTTTGATCCCATTCACCCCAAGTGCTATATCAGCTGCCTCTTGAATACATTCAATGTTTTGGCATCAACTACTTCCTGTGGTAATGAATTCCACAGGCTCACCATTCTTAGGGTAAGGAAATGTCTCCACATTTCCGTTCTAAATCGTCTACCCCGAATCCTCATATTGTGACCGCTGGTTCTGGACACACCCACCGTTGGGAATATCCTCTCTGCATCTACCCTGTCCAGTCCTGTTAGAATTTTATAAGTCTCTATGAGATCCCCCCCTCATTCATCTGAACTCCAGCGAAAACTGTCCCAACATAGTCAATCTCTCCTCACACGTCAGTCCCACCATCCTCCTTTTCCAGTGAGCTGTTTAATTATGCACCACTATTCACAACTTGATTTGGCAGGACTGCAGAACTTAGGCCTGATCCATTGCTTTTGGAATCCTATAGCTTTGTCTATCGCTTGGTTGACATCTCATCTTTAGGTATGCCTGGTTCTGCTCTTGGCATACCCTCCTGCAATCTTCTTTGAACTTGGGTCGATCCCTTGTCTTGATGGAAATGGTAGAGAGGGGTAATATGCCAGACAATTATATTACAGTTTGTGTTAGAGTATGATTCTGCTGGAACTGATGGCCCACAGTACATGGAAGGGAGGGAAGGGGGACGTAGTTCCCTAATTTTGCATGCTGGTTATGTGTGGGACAGTTCTGTTTGTGGGGATTCTGTTCTGTTTCTTGTTTGGGTGGTCAGATAGCAGTAGTTGGGGTTGGGGGGAGTGAAGCTATTGTCAGTTCTGACAATGGTGGATGGTTCTGTTGTCTGGGCAGCGAAGGAGTCAAGTCATTGAGTTGTAGCAGTTAGTTGGACAGGGATGTGGTGTAGAGGGGATCTAATACAGGACGTAATCAGGTAATAATGTTAGGTGACGTTGAGTATGCAGTTAAATCCTGCAGAGCTGGCCCAAGTATTCATCCTGAGCTGAGTGTCAGAGATGTTTGTGGAGGCTCCCAGGTAGCAGGGAAACAACTCATCTGAAATTTATGGTAATTTTCTAATTCATAAAGACACTAAATAAATTCAGAAAGCAATAAAAAAGCTTTGTTGCTCTTTGTGGTGCCTATAACATTGTCAAATCAATTTTACAAGCATACATACTAATGCACCAGAAAATATGATTCCAGTTTTGACAACTTCCACTGCTCAGCTTTTTAATCCTCTCCAGGCTTAAAGGGTTAATTATAAGAACACATTCATACACTGGGTACTTTTATGCTCAGCATGCTTCTTCTGGGTCTTCTGACCTGCACGTTAGCTCTCTACAATTGCTGATACTCACCATTTTTTTTTCTACCACTCATGAGCCAGAAGGCACTCTCAAAACTTTGTGATTCTCTCTCCTCCAAATGGCTAGGAACAAGTGGTGCATCCTCAGTCACCATGGCAACCATTCAGTTACCATGGTGGACATCTTTGTGAGGGGCAACAGTAATAGAGTCAGTTCTAACCAATCAGAATCCAATCAAAGTATGGAACAATTAGACAGAATAGTGGGGCAATGTGTTTTGGTAGTGGAATACTAAACATGGACAGGTTAATATATAAGATAAGGACTCATGGAGATGGGGGTGATATATTAACATGTATAGAGAATTGGTTTACACACATTAAGCAGACAGTAGGGCTAAAAGGGGTCTTTCAAGTCGCATCTTATGACCAATGGAATGATCAGTCCTGGGGCCTCAGTTATTTACAAGTTACATTGATGAATTAGATGAAGAAATTGAAAGTAATGAACTAGATTCATTGATAATAGAGCGCTAGGAAGTCATAAAGATGCTGCAAAAAGAAAAAGATTAAGTGAATGAAAAAAAGTCAGCAAATTGAGGACCTGTGGCAAAGTGACAATTTATTCACTTTGTAGGAGAAAAAGAAAAATAGATTATTTTTTAAAAAGCATGAAACCAGTGATACTGTCACTGGACCAGTATTCCACAGACCTAGGCGAATGCGCTTGTTTCATGGGTTGGCAGCTGGTGGTACTTAAGTTCAATTAATACATCTGGAATTAAAAGTTAGTCTAATAGTTGCCATGAAATCTTTGGTCACTTTTGTAAAGACCCATGTGGTTCATTAATGTACTTCACCAGCACTATTTCTGGGTACATCCTGTCCCACTGGTAGGTACGGACATACCAGAGGTAGCAGCACAGTGGTATACAGTCAACATTGCCTCCAGACCCGATGATGTCATATAGCACCAGGTAAAACATGAACACGAAAACCTCCTGCTGATTAGCACCTATTGTGTCCCGTAAGCTCGTGAATCACTACTCCTCCATGTTAATCTCTGATTGGAAGAAGCACCAAGGATGGAAAGGGCACAGAATGTACTCTGATGGGGGACTTCAATATCCAATACCAAGAGTGCCCCATTTGAACCATATTTAACTGACCTGGATGATTCCTAAAGAAAATAGCCCCTATTAGGTCTGTGGCAGGTGGTGAGGGAAACAAGAGAGAAAAACTTACTTGACTTTGTCCTCACCAATCCATCATGACAGTATTAGTAGGAATGACCATTGCAAAGTCCTTGTGGAGACAAAGTCTCCATCATACTGTGTGACCCTGACAACATTCCAAAAAGAATATTATGGCCTTATGCTCCACAGTTAGTCATACCCTAATTACTCCAGTACATTTACAATACTGATATCTATCTGGCAATCTGGAATATTGCTGAGGTATGTCCTGTGCATAAAAAGCAAGGCAAATACAAAAGTGGAATTATTGCCACATAGGTCCATCAGTCTACTCTCAATCAGCACATAGGAAGATGGCTAGAGGTCAATTATTTCAGTCCCAGCATTTCACTGCAAGGGTTCCTCAAACCTAGCTCCAAACATCTGCAGTTGCATCTTCAATGACTTTCCCTCCATCCTATGGTCAAAAGGCAGGATGTTTACTGATCGCTGCACAATGTTCAATACCATTCACAACTGCTCAGACGCCGAAGCAGCTCTTGTTTATTTGCAGCACTATCTGAACAACGTGTGGGCTGAGAGGTGGCATGCCAGGCATTCACTATCTAAAATAAGAGAGCATTGTACCATCACTGCTTAACATTCAGTAGCATTACCATTGCTAAATTCCCCACTGTCAACATTATGGGGGTTACCTTTGACGACAAACTGAACGAGACAGTCATATAAGTACAATGGATATAAAAACAGGTAAGAGGCTAGAAATTTATGATGAGTAATGCATCTCCCAGTTGTCCATTGTCTGCAGTATGATGGAATACTGTCCACTTGTCTGGATGAGTGTATGTCTATTTACACTCAAGAAGCTTGACACCATCCAGAACAATGTATCCCACTTGATTGATACCCTATCCACCAAATTCCATATTCAATCTTTTCCCTACGGACGTAGAGTGGCAATAGTTTATGCCATGATTATACCAGGTAAAATTCACTAAAGTAATACACCAAGATCCTCAAACAGCAACTTTCAAACCCCCAACCTCTAATGACCAGAAGGACAAGAGTAGCGGATGCATGTGAGGACTACCTACTGCAAGTTCCTCTTCAAGAAACATGGCATCCTGACTTGGAAATATATTGCCTTTCTTTCATTATCACTGTGTCAATATCCTGAAACTCACTTCCTAACATTGCTACGGGTGTACAAGTAGCTGATTAGTCTATGGAATGATAACCAGTTGTCAATGACAAAGACCTTCTGCCTGCCAACAACTATATGATTGTTTCCTAGGTAGCTGAACAGCTTGTGATGTGAACAATATAATCAGAAGCCTCCAGGCCTCTGGAAGTGAAGGTAGTGTCACTATGTAAAAACTAAACAATGAATCTATTAGAGATAGTAGGAACTGCCGATGCTGGAGAATCTGAGATAACACGGTGTAGAGCTGGATGAACACAGCAGGCCAAGCAGCATCAGAGGAGCAGGAAAGCTGATGTTTTGGGTCGAGACCCTTCTTCAGAAATGAGGGAGGGGAAGGGGATTCTGAAATAAATAGTGAGAGAGGGGGAGGCGGAAAAGAGGATGGATAAAGGAGAAGATAGGTGGAGAGGAGACAGACAGGTCAAATAGGCGGGATTGGAGCCAGTAAAGGTGAGTGTAGGTGGGGAGTTAGGGAGGAGATAGGTCAGTCCAGGAGGACGGACAGGTCAAGGAGGCGGGATGAGGTTAGCGGGTAGGAGATGGGGGTGGGGCTTGAGGTGGGGAGGAATGGTTAGGGAGGCGGGGACGAGCTGGGCTGGTTTTGGGATGCGTTCGGGGGAGGGGAGATTTTGAAGCTTGTGAAGTCCACATTGATACCATTGGGCTGCAGGGTTCCCAAGTGAAATATGAGATGCTGTTCCTGCAGCTTTCGGGTGGCATCATTGTGGCAATGCAGGAGGCCCAGGATGGACATGTCGTCCAAGGAGTGGGAGGGGGAGTTGAAATGGTTCGCGACTGGGAGGTGTAGTTGTTTGTTGCGAACTGAGCGTAAGTGTTCCGCAAAGCGGTCTCCAAGCCCTGCCTGGTTTCCCTGATGTAGAGGAGGCCACAACGGGAAGAGTGGATACAGTATACCACATTAGCAGATGTGCAGGTGAACATCTGTTTGATGTGGAAGGTCTTCTTAGGGCCTGGGATGGGGTTTAGGGGGAAGGTATAGGGGCAGGTGTAGCACTTGCTCCGGTTGCAGGGAAAAGTGCCGGGGGGTGGTGGGGCTGGAGGGGAGTGTGGAGCGGACAAGGGAGTCACGGAGAGAGTGGTCCCTCCGGAAAGCAGATAAATCTGGGGAGGGAAAAATGATTTTGGTAGTGGGGTCAGTTTGCAGATGGCGGAAGTGTCGGAGGATGATGCGTTGGATCCGGAGGTTGATGGGGTCTCCATATCCAGTGAACCAAAAGAAAACTAATTCCTTCCTCCATCTCTAAAGTTGGCAAGATTTCTTACTCTTCAGTAGTCTCTTTGTTTCCATAGATTTTAAATAATTAGCAAATTAGATGGATTAATAAACACTTCTCAGCACTTACTGAGAAAAAACAGAGAGAAAGTCACTCAAGTTCTTTACAATGACCACCTGTGACCTTTCCAGATCAACTATCATACATATGAAACGACAAAATAGTGAAGATTTATATTTAGCTGCTGTTTTATTGTGTTACCATGTGAAGCACATGTACTCAATACTCAAGTTCTTGTTTGATTTGAAGTACACAAAGATTATTAGAGTTCTGTGCATCTGAAAAGTCTATTTCATTCCTGTCATGGGTTCATGAACTCAGGTAATGCCAGCTTTAAATACCCCTTGGTCGCAAAGGCAAAATCAAAGCAAAAATCTCCATCTCGTTCCAGAATTCTTCTCCTCTCCACTCGACAGCCTGAAATATAGAAGATAAGAGGCTACTTAGAATAAGTTTGAATTCCCATAGAGGAATCAGGCTATTTATACGAAAGATGAACAGCTTTTAACCAAGAGCAGAGCTAGCAGAAAATATGCACAGGGTGAGAGGGAGTTGTAGGATAAGAAGATGCTGCTCATTGAATGGTTGGAAAAGGCTGCTGCAATGTTGTTAACACAGTATGGAACTGGAGGAACACAGCAGGTCAGGCAGCATCAGGGGAACAGGAAAGTTGATTTTTGGGGTTGGGACCCAATGTTGTTTTAAGACCATAAGACTATAAGACATAGGAGCAGAAATTAAGCCATTCGGCCCATCGAATCTGCTCCGCCATTCAATCATGGCTGATAAGTTCCTCAACCCCATTCTCCTGCTTTCTCCCCGTAACCCTTGATCCCCTTGATAATCAAGAATCTATCTATCTCAGTCTTAAATGTACTCAATGACCTGGCCTCCACAGCCTTCTGTGGCAGCGAATTCACCAGAGATTCACCACTCTCTGGCTGAAGTAGTTTCTCCTTATCTCTGTTCTAAAAGGTCTTCCCTTTACTCTAAGGCTGTGTCCTTGGGTCCTAGTCTCCACTGCTAATGGAAGCATCTTCCCAACATCCACTTTGTCCAGGCCATTCAGTATTCTGAAAATTTCAATTAGATCCCCCCTCATCCGTCTAAAATCCAATGAGTATAGTCCCAGAATCCTCATATGTTAACCTTTCCATTCCTGGGACCATTCTTGTGAACCTCCTCTGAACCCGCTCCAGGGCCAGTACATCCTTCCTGAGATACGGGGCCCAAAACTGCACACAAAACTTCAAATGTGGCCTGACCAGAGCCTTATAAAGCCTCAGCAGTACATTCCTGCTTTTATATTCAAGTCCTCTCAAAATAAATGCCAACATTGCATTTGCCTTCCTGGCTACTGACTCAACCTGCAAGTTTACCTTGAGAGAATTCTGGACTGGAATTCCCAAGTCTCTCTGCACTTCAGACTTCTGAATTTTCTCCCCACTTAGAAAATAGTCCATGCTTTTATTCTTCTTACCAAAGTGCACGACCTCACACTTTCCCATGTGTACTCCATCTGCCACTTCTTTGCCCACTCCCCTAACCTGTCCAAATCCTTCTGCAGCCTCGTCACCTCCTCAATATCACCTGTCCCTCCACCTATCTTTGTATCATCTGCAAACTTAGCCAGAATGCCCACAGTTCCTTCATCTAGATCATTAATGTATAAAGTGAAAAGTTGCGGTCCCATCACTGACCCTTGCAGAACTCCACTTGTCCCGGCTGCCATCCTGAGAAAGACCCTTTTAACCCCACTCTCTGCTTTCTGCCAGACATCAATCTTCTATCCATGCTAGCACCTTGCCTCTAACACCGTGGGCTCTTATCTTACTCAGTAGCCTCCTGTGTGGCACCTTATCAAAGGCCTTCTTGAAGTCCAGGTGGATAACATCCATTGGCTCTCTTTGGTCTACCCTGCTCATTACTTCCTCAAAGAATTCTGGCAGAGTTGTCAGGCATGACCTCCCCTTGATGAAACCATGCTGACTTTGCCCTACTTTACCATACACTTCCAAATATTCAGAAATCTCCTCCTTTACAATGGACTCCAAAATCTTACCCATGACTGAGGTTAGGCTAATCAGCCTGTAATTTTCTGTCTTTTGCCTTACTCCCTTCTTAAACAGGGGTGTCATGTTAGCCATTTTCCAGTCCTCTAGGACCCTCCCTGACTCTAGTGATTCCTGAAAGATCACCACTAACATTTCCACTATCTCTTCAGCTATCTCCTTTAGAACTCTGGGGTGTAGTCCATCTGGTCCAGGTGATTTTTCCACCTTCAGGCCAATCAGTTTTACTAGCACCTATTCCTTGGTGATGGCCACCATACTCAGCTCTGCCCCTGACTCTCTTGAATTTTTGGGAGATTACTCATGTCTTCCACCGTGAAGCTTGACACAAAGTAATTATTCAGTTCCTCAGCCATTTCCTCATTCCCCACTACCGTCTCTCCACCATCATTTTCCAGTGGTCCAATGTCCACTTTTGCCGCTCTTTTGCCCTTTTTCTACCTAAAGAAACTCTTACAGTCTTCATTTATATTACTGGCTAGCTTACCCTCATATTTAATCTTCTCCCTCCTTATTTCTTTTTTTGTTGCCCTCTGATTGGTCTTTGTAAGCTTCCCAATCCTCTGGTTTCCCACTGCCCTTCATCACATTATATGCTTTCTCTTTTGCTTTTATGCTATCCCTGACTTCCTTAGTCAGCCATGGTTGCCTCATCGTCCCTGTACCATGCTTCTTTATCCTAGGGATGAATTTTTGCTGTGTCTCCTGAATTACTCCCAGAAACTCCTGCCATTGCTGTTCCACTGTCTTTTCTGCTGGGCTCCACTTCCAGTCAATTCTGCCCAGCTCCTCCCTCATACCTCTGTAGTCACCTTTATTCAGCTGTAATACCATTTCCTCAGATTCTATCTTCTCCCTCTCAAACTGCCGAGTAAATTCTATCATCTTATAATCACTGCCTCCTAAGGGTTCTTTCAGCTTAAGCTCCCTTATCAAGTCTGCCTCATTGCACAATACCAAATCTAGTATTGCCTGTTCCCTTGTGGGCTCCACCACGAGCTGCTCCAAAAAGCCATCTCGTAGACATTCCACAAACTCCTTTTCTTGCAATCCATTACTGACCTGAATTTCCCTGTCCACCTGCATATCGAAATTCCCCATGATCACTGTGACTTAGCTCCTGACTACTGATTGGAGGCCTGTACACACCCCCGACTATGGTTTTTTTACCTTTGCGGTTCATCAATTCTACCCACACAGATTCTACACCATCTGACCCTACTTCGTTTCTTTCTATTGATTTAATTTCATTTCTCACTCACAAGGCAACCCCACCCCCTCGGCCCACCTGACTATCTTTTCGATAGGATGTATATCCTTGGATATCCAGTTCCCAATCCTGATCCCCTTGCAGCCATGACACCGTGATGCCCACCACATCATACCTGCCAGTTTTGATCCGTGCCACAAGCTCATTTACCTTATTCCTTATACTGTGTGCATTCAGATATAACGCCTTCAGTCCTGTATTAACCCTCCCTCTTCTCATTTTCATTTGTTTTTCCAGTGTTTGATTGCTAGCCTTTTCCAAACACTCTGTCCTATCTGTGCCTGTGCTGGAGACTTTAAGAACCTCTACTGAATTTTCCTTCCCTGTCATTTCTTTTATATTTTTCCACATAGTTGTATCCACTACTACAGATGTTAACCTGCTGCTTTGTTTCCCACCAGGGCAAGTTTCACCATTCCCTTCCCCCTCTACTTTCTAGTTTAAAGTTTTATGCCTATCATTTAAAGAAAAAATCCTCCAGGCCAGCAACACTTGAAATATTGCAACTAAAGAAACATGCATAAGGATGTTAATAAAGGCTACAAGCACTCTTTTATTGACATCTCTTAAATGGTTGGAAAATACACAAAAGAATTAGCAAACCAATCCTGAGAACATTGGGAAAGACTTTCGTGACAAATATCCAAGATGGCGGTAATGCTGTTACTCTGAGCACCTTTAGGCAATGGGCCTGTATAATGAGATTTGAATAGAATAGCCTTTATTGTCACACGCACTTGAAGGAGTGCAGTGAAAAGTTTGTAATGTCACCTCTTGGTGCCATCTTAGGCACAGGGTACCTAGGTACAGATACTTTATGTGTTGCTACATAACTGAAATGTTAAAAAAATTAGACTAGCATGGGAATACAGAGCTTGAAAAGTCCAGAGTGAGAATTAAAAAGTATCTTAAAAGTAGTCAAGTTATAGTCCTTTTTCACTGAGTTTGTGCAGGTTGTAGTCAATACTAAGAGTACTTTCTGATTAGGAGCTATGTGCAGATGCAATAAGCAAAACTGACTTGCAGTCAAGGAAAAATAAAACATTGACAAAGCATCCAGGCCAAGAAGGTTGCTTTGCAGTGCCTGTTTTACACATGCTTGATGTGTGCTTGCGCATTTCGAGACAGAAATTCATTACCCATCACATTCGCATATGCATCAAGTTAGACATCCACATCTCATGCCTGAAACAGGTGTCCAATCCTTTGAATATGCAAAGGAACAACCTAATGCCTATTTGATGCCCTCATTATTAACTAGGTTTGCATAATGAACCGATGCTGGCTGGCCATGTATAGAAAGAAATGGAGCAACATGTACCCTAAGATGGCCTGAAAACTGAAGCTGTTAAATAAAACTCAGTTGGCCATGGATCTGTTGAATGCTCCGACTCTGCTCTCCCAGTCACATAGGCAGCAGATCAGCTGTGATCAATCAACCTGTACTTGCAAAACTCAGGAAATAAAATCCAGCACTAGATATGCTTCTACTACAAGACAACATTTACTGAATAATCCACACTGTGTAAGAATTACACCAGAAACCAATTTAAGATTACCAATTGGGCTTACAGTGCATTTCATTTGCATGTGCTACAAGCTAAATATATTCATACATAGGGTCCTACTCAATGCAGGCAAAAGGAGTTTTTGCACTGATTGCAACTTCTTCATTGAAAAAGATTTATGGAGACTGCTGATTCCTTATGCACTTCCTATAGCAACACCCTGATCTATTAGAGTACAGATGCCTGGTCTGAGGTTAAGTAGCTGGCTAAAATTGATAGTTAATAGATTCTGTTGCATCTACAAGCATGGTCCAATCAATCAGCACACTCTTCTCATGCTGGTGTTCCCCTTCTTGTGTCCCAATCCTGATGAATGCAAGATGAAAAGCTTCAATTCACGTCCCTCTTTAGTAATGTTTAAGTTTTGAGTTGCCAAGCAATTATTTATCATAAACCATCTTTGTTTTTGTTGGATATGGTTGCAACATCAAGCGTTCACTCCCTGCCCCAATTCCCATTGACCAGTTTTACAAGATTCCTTGAACACTCGGTTAAATGTTGCCTTGCTGTTGAGGACAGTCCCTTTCACCTGGAGTCGCCTGGAGTTCGGCTGTTTTGACAATATTTGGACCAACGTTTTAATTGGATTAAGAGTTGAGTGACCCTGGTAGAACTCAAACTGAGCATTAATGAACAGATTATTGTGGAGTAGTCGTCACTTGTTAGCAGTTGATGACTTCTCCCATCGTTTTGCTGATGGTGCTGTAATTGGCTGGGTTGAACTTATCCTTTTGTAGACAGGACATACTTGTGCAATGTTCTACATTGCCTGGAAGATGCCAGTGTTGTTGTGTTGGAACAGCTTGGCTGAGGCATGACTAATTCTGGAGCACAGCATTATTGCTGGATTGTTGTCAGGATCCATTAGTATCAGTTTTAACTGTTTCTCGATGTGAGGTGAAGTGAATAGAATTGTTTGAAGACTGGCATCTATGATGCTTGGGACTTCAGAAGAAGGCTGAGATTGTTCATCCACTCGGCACTTCTGACTGAAGATTGATGCAGATGCTTGAACCTTGCCTTTTGCACTAATGTTCTGGGAATCCCATTTTGAGGATGGGGATATTTGTGGAGCCTCCTCCTTCTGTTAGTTGTTTAATTGTTCATCAGGACTTGCTGTAGCAGGCCTTAGATCTAATCTGTTAGTCATGGGATCGCTTAGCTCTGTGTATCGCATGTTGCTTCTTATGTTGGTAAGCAAGTATTTAAATCTTGTAGCCTCACCAGAGTGACACCTCATTTTTATATAAGCCTGCTCCTGCACTCTTCATTCAACCACTGTTGATCACCTGGCTTGATGTAAATGGTAAAATACAGGCCTTGAAATGACTGAATTTGGTTGAATACTTTCTTATGCAGCTGATGACCAATTTTGCCTTGTGGATGTCCACTTTTGAACTGCTAGATTTGTTATCTATCCCATTTAGTGAAGTGATAATATCAGACAATACAAAGGAGGGTAGCCTCAATATAAAGACAGGACTTTGTCTCTACAAGATCTCTGCGTGTTACTCCTGCCATTACTGATATATAGGTGGCTCAGTATTTAGCACTGCTGCCTCACAGTGCCAGCGACCAGGGTTCACTTCCAGTATAGGAGTTGGGATGTCTTGTTGCTGCTGTACAGGGCATTGGCGAGGCCACTTTTAGAATACAGAGTGCAATTCTGGTCTCCCTTCCATAGGAGGATGTTGTTAAACTTGAAAGGGTGCAGAAGAGATTTACAAGTCTGTTGCCAGATTTGGAGGGTTTGAGCTAAAGGAAAATCCTGAATAGGCTGAAGTGCTGAAGCATCAGAACTGAGGGGTGACCTTAAAGAGGTTTATAAAATCATGAGGGGTTGAATAGCCGAGGTTTTTGTCCCAGGGTAGGAGAGTCTAAAATCAGAAGGTATAGATTTTAAGTGACAGGGGAAAGATTTAAAAGAGATCTGAGGGGCAACTTTTCCACACAGCTGGTGGTGTGTGTATGGAACAAGCTGCCAGACAAAGTGATGGAGCCTGGTACAATTACAACATTTAAAAGGCATCTGGATGAATACACGAATTGGAAGGGTTTAGAGGGATATGGGCCAAATGCTGGCAAATGGGACTAGATCATTGTAGGATATCTGCTCTGCATGGATAAGTTGGACCAAAGGGTCTGTTTCCATGCTGTAGGACTCTATGACTTTCTGTGTGGAGTTGGCACATTTTCCTCGGTCCATGTGGGTTTCATCCGGGTGCCCTTGTTTCCTTCCACAGTCCAAAGATGTGCAAGTTAGGTCAATTGGCCTTGCTGAAATTGTCTATAGTGTTCAGGGATGTGTAAGCTAGGTGTATTAGCCATGGGAAATACGGGGTTACAGTGATAGGAAAGGGGTTTGGGTCTGGGCGGGATGCTCTTTGGAGGTTCAGTGTGGATCCGATGGAGTAAATGGCCTCCTTCCGTACTGCAGGGGTTGAATGGTTCTATGATATAAGATGTGGACAGGTACATCAGATAGGTAGATTGATGAGGACCAGGTCAAGTAGATTTTTCCTTCTTCTTGACTGTTATCTGCCATACACCCAGTTTAGCAGATCAGTCCTTAAGGACTCAACCAGCTCGATCAATAGTAGTGCTACTAAACAACTCTAAAAACAATACTGAAGTCCCAATTCAAAGTACATGATGTGCCCTTACAGTGCTTCATCTAATTGTGTATACCTTCATTTCAAATGTTTAAATAATTTTTAAAGAAATTAAAGATTAAAGAATGTGGATGTGATTGATAAGACAAGGATTTATTGCCCATGACTAAGTCCCCCTGACAAGGTGATGGCTTATACTCACTGTTTTGAATACAATTTTGAGGCTTGCTAAGCCAGTTTAGAAGGCAGTTAAGAATTAACTAAATTGCTGTTAGTCTGGAGTCACATATCAGCAAACAAAAACAAGGCAGATTTTCTTCCTGAAAATTTATTAATGAGTCAAGTGGGTTTTTGCAACAAGTGTATGTGTTTTTATTCCAGGTATTCCTTAATTGAATTTAAGATCTCCAAATGCCATTGTGGGTCATAGAGTCATAGAGTTACAAAGCATGGAAACAGACTCTTCGGTCCAACCAGTCCATACCGACCATCATCCCAAACTAAACTAGTCTCACCTGCCTGTGCTTGGCCCATATTCCTCCAAACCTTTCCTATTCATGAACTTATCCAAATGTCTTTTAAAAGTTGTAACTGTACCTGCATCCACCATATGGGATTTGAAATCATGTGTTCAGATCATTTGTCCAACTACTAACATTACTACTATGTTAATGGACATCCTCCAAATGTAATAGAACGCTAAATTTAGAAAAAAACTTCTTAGAATCAAATTTTCTGGTCAGACAGAATATAAGAACATTTAATTTGCATCAGCACCGTAATAAGGAAATGGATGCTGGCAGTCGTGTCACAGAGTTATACAGATATACAGCACGAAAACAGACCCTTTAGTCTGACTCATCCATGCTGACCAGATATCCTACATAAATCTAGTCCCAATTGCCAGCATTTGGCCCATATACCTCCAAACCCTACCTATTCACATACACATCCAGGTGCCTTTTGAATGTTGTAATCGTATAAGCCTCCATCACTTCCTCTGGCAGCTCATTCTATACACCCTCTGCGTGAAAAAGTTGCCCCTTAGGTCACTTTTATATCCTTCCCTTCTCACTTTAAACGTATGCCCTCTATTTTCAGACTCACCCACCCTGGGGAAAAGACCTTGCCTATTTACCCTATATTGCCCCTATTGATTTTAGAAACTTCAATAAGGTCACCCCTCAGTCTCTGATGCTCCAGGGAAAATAGCTGCACAACAGAGCAAAACTACAATAGATCTCGTAAATGAATTGTAAATGGTGTTTGATTCTTAGATGTGGCCTCATTTAAGAGAGCCAAAACATATATTGACAAACTAATTCACTATTACAAATGATTAAACATAGTGCTAATGTTAGTGGACTAATAACCCAAAGGCCTAGACTAATGATCCAGAGATGCAATTTCAAATCCTTCCACAGCAATGGAACAAATTGAAATGTAATTAATTAATAAATCAAATAAAAAGCTAATCTCAGGATTAATGATGATGTAACTATCTGATGTGACTATCTGTTGTAAACGCCCTTCTAGCTCACTAATAACTTTCAATGAAAGAAATCCGATGTCCTGGACTAGCCTGGCCTACAAGTGACTTCAGACACGACAATGTAGTTGATTCATAGCTGCCCTCAAAAATGGCCTGGCAAACCATTCCGTTGTATCAAATCCTTCCAGAAAAGTTGCAATTCAAGAAGGTGGCTGAACACCAATTTTTTAAAAGCAATTAGGGATAGGCCTTGCCAGTGATATTGACATCCAATGAAAGAATAAAACAAACAATTCATTTGCGTGGGAAAGCCCCTTCTGCAAATTTATGTAAATAGAAAACTAATTTGTCTGCTCCTTTACCTACACATACCTTATCAATTATCCAGTTAAAGTCATCCAGTCCTGTGTACATTGTGTCTAAGACAAGGACTTTGTTAGTGCGTGTTTCCTCATTCAATGCCATCCCCAGCAAAACAAATGCTTTACTTTCAGAAACTGCTCATATAGTAGCAGGAAAAAGAAGCAAGAACGTGAAAATTTAAAAAATCAAATAAATGCAATCACTTCTTTATAAGATTTAGCATGCAGTTGCAGTTCGGCAATAGATTTAATTTTTGAAGCAAATTTTTAAAATTCCTTCAACTGTTAATTTTTTTAATATCAAGTTTAACATGGATAAGTGTGAGGTTATCCATTTTGGTTGGAGGAATAGAAAAGCAACTTATTATCTACATAGATAGAAACTTCAGAGTGCTTCAGTGCAGGGGGATCTGGGTGGCCTTGTTTTTGAATCACTGAAAACTAGTATGTGAGTGCAGCGGGTAATAAGGAAGGCACATTGAATTTTGGCATTTATTGCTGAAGGAATAGAGTATGAAAATAAGGAAGTGCTGTGGCAATAAGGCATTTGTGAAACCGTACCTGGAGAATTGCGAAAAATTTTGATCCCCTTAGTTGAGGAAGGATGCAGTTGTACTGTAGACAGTTTAGATGAAGTTCACTAGATTGATTCCAAACATGAGACTTTGTCTTATGAAGACAGATTGAACACTTCAGGCCTATAAGCTCTAGATTTTAGAAGGAGAGGAGATCTAATTGAAGTATATAAGATGCTAAAGGGGATTGACATTCTAGAACTAGACATCATAGTTCTAGGATAATGAATAGCAGATTTAAAACAGATGAGGAGAAAGTACTTCTCTCAGAGGATTGTGAATCCGTGGGAATTCATTAACCGATAATGTGATGGATGCTGGGCATTGAGTAAATTGAGACTTTTAATTAGTAATGGATAGAACGGTTATAAACAACGGGCAGAAGTGTGGAGTTCAGGCTGAGATGAGGTCAGCCAAGATTGTATCAAATGATGGAGCAGGCCTGAGGGGCTGAATTGCCTACCCCTACTGCTAGTTCTTAAATTTGTTTGCGGGATAAAATATTCCTTTTTATTTTTGAGGTAGGCCTGAGCATCACTGTATAAAACTGCTGTAAATTAATTGCTTCTTGAAAGAGACATACTTATTTTTATATCGAGTCATTTTAAACATATTGACTTTGCATAGTTAAGAGATCTCAGATTAGACAATTTATCAACTATTTTCATGCAGAACTTAAAAAAAATGTTCCGAAGTCGAGCAAGAGAAATCTTGAAATTGCAAACTTACAAACTGTACTCTTCCAAATCACAACCGGAGTTCCTTCTTCTTTGAAATGAGGAGTAAGATCTATTACTTTCTCAGCACTTACCCTGTAAAAATTAAAGCATTTAATCCCCTTTGTTGATTTTGGGCAAGGCAACAGAAATTAGGAGAGATGAAGTGACAGATCTGGACCTAATAGCATGGAGATTAGAGACAAGATCATTAGGAAGGATAGCAGGAGGTATCAGGATTTGGGAGTTAATGTTATTAATTGCATCAGGGAGGACATAAAGGCACTGACCAACAGAGGAGAGGCTGAAAGCACTTCTGTTCCTACTGGCCCAATGTTCCTACCATCTTGAGCCAGCAGTTCCAACCTCCCTTTTACTGCTGGATTTCCTGTGTTCTGGAAAAACACATCTGTCTATTTATGATTAAATTTAATTTTATAAAAAATCTGTTCACTCGCAGGATGTGGATTGACAGACTGGGCAGGCATTTATTGCCTGTTCCTAGTTGACAGTGAGAAGGTAATGGTGAGCTGCCTTCTTGACTGCTACAGTCCATTTGGTGTAGGCACTCACATAATGCCGTGAGAGGAGGAGTTCCAGGATTTTGACTAGGTGGTACTGAAGGAACAGCAGTATATGTTGAAGTTTGGATAACGAGTGGATTCAAGGGGAACTTGCAGATTATGGTGTTCCCAAGTATCTGCCATCCTTGTCCTTCAAGATATTGGCGGTCGTGGGTTTGGTGAATTTCTGCAGTGGACCTTGTAGAAAATGTACACTATTGCTTTTTACCATTGGTGGTAAAGGGACTAGATATTTGAGGTCATGGTGCCCACAAGTGAGCTTCTTTGTCTCGGATGGTGTCAAGTTTCCTGCATGTTGCTGGAGCGGCACTGATCCAGGAAAGTGGGAAGTATTCCACCACACTCCTGACTTGTGTCTAGAAGGCTGACAGTCTATAGGAGTCAGGGGGTGAGTTACTCACTATAGGATTCCTACATTGAGACCTACTCTTATAACCGCTGCACTTATGTGATGAGTCCAGTTTGGTTTCTGGTCAGCCCCCTGTATGTTGGTAATGGGGGATTCAGTGATGGTGATACCGTTGAATGTCAAGAGATGATGGTTAAATTGCCTCTTATTGGAGATGGTCCTGGCCTGGCACTGTTCCAAGACCAAGCACAATGTAACAAGTATAACACTTCAATCATTATTTTTTCATCGTAATATTGAACTATCTAACTTCTCATGCCGAAGATAAGAGCCTCATTATAACAGAATTACATGTCCAACGCACCAATATGCTATATCTCTACAATCATTCTAAGGTTTTAATTAAACTTAGAATCAAAAAAGAAATTCAGTAAGCTGTTCACAAAAATGAATAAAATATTAGGAATGTCTCAGGAGTATTTAAATTGATATAGGTTTGAATTTGGTTCAGACTCTAAATCATTTAAAGCTGGCCTGTACTTTCACATAATGGAGCACATTAAAACAGCTTGCTTAAGTAATATCAACATTCACCACAAGGTGGGGATCATCATCTCCCTTTCCCAATAACACTTCCAAAACTTTGTTGTTTATCATCAAATTAGATTTCTTTCCATTGCAACAAAAATAGACAAATTGGTAAATTAACTCTCCACCCATAATGAAACAACTTAACCAGTGAGGAAAATACAATCAAGCCTTCTCCTTTATTCCTGTTTCTTAGCTGTTCACTGGTCGTAGCAATGGTAGTGTGAAAATGTTACTGATTATTCGATGTATAAATGCATAGCAGTTCAACAAGTCATTTTAGGAAATGAACACAGCAAATGGAACTATACACCTATTAGTAAAATTCTTAGATTGAACGACACAGATCCTGTGATAAAGGAGATTAGAAAACTGAAATGGGTACATTAACGATTAGTCTCCAGCAATGAGAGGTCTGAATATTTGAGGTTTTCTCAGCAGAACACAGAATGCTAAACTGTAGAATCAAAAAGAGATTTTAAGAAGATAAGAGACCCACGGTGCTGGAGGTCTTTCAGAACGCTTAGAAGATTGGCTAACTAATAGGAGACAGAGAGTTGGGATAAGGAAGTGTGCGGGGTGGGTGTGTGTGCATTTTCAGGATGTCAACCTGTAACTAGTGGAGATCCATTAGGGATCAGTACTGGGTCACAATTATTTACAGTCGATATAATGAATTGGATAAGGAAAGTGAATCAATTATAACTAAGTTTGTTGATGAAACAAAAATGGGTGGGAAGACAAATGGTGAGGACAAAACAATAAGTCTGCAAAGGGATATAGACAGGTTAAGTCGGTGGGCAAACTTGGCAGATGGAATATAATATAGGGAAATGTGAACTTAAGTACTTTGGGAAAAAGAATATGGGGCCTGGTCATCCATGAATCACAAAAAAAACCAGCATGTAAGTTCAGCAGGTAATAGGGAAAGCATAAGTGTTGTTGGCCTTTAATTCAAATGGAATGGAGTATAAAAGTAGAGAAGTCTTGTGAAATTTTTACAAGGCACTGGTCAGACCACAGACCACAGCTGGAATACATTGAAATGTTTTGGGCTCCTCATCTAGGAAAGATATACTGGCATTGGAAGTCTAGAGAAGGATCACTTGGTTAATACCAGGTAAGGAGGGACTGTCTTATGAGGACAGGTTGAATAGGTTGGACCTGTACTCTTTGGAATATAGAAGAATGTGAGACAACCTCACTGAAATATACAAGTTTCATAGGGTAGATGTGGAATGGTGGCTCTTTTTGTGGAAGAGTCTAGGACCAGAGGATAATCTCAGAAGACGGGGTTTAAGACAGAGTTGAGGTGGAATGTCTTCAATCACAGGGTTACGAATCTGTGGAAGTCTTTACTGCAGAGAGCTGTAAGCTAGGTATTGAGTATATTCAAGGCTAAGATAAATAATTTTTATATCATTGAAGAAATCAAGAGTTACGTGGAAAAGGCAGGGAAGTGGAGTTGTGTTATCAGATTAGCCATGATCTCATTGAACGTGGAATAGACTCAGGCTCCTACATCTTCCAGCCATGCAAGTAGATAGGATAGTAAAGAAAGCATATGGCATGGAGACAGTAAGGACTGCAGATACTGGAACCTAGAGTCAATAAATGTGGAGCATAGCGGGTTAGACAACATCCAAGGAGCAGGAAAGTCAATGTTTCGGGTCAAAGCCTTTCATCAGCACTGGGGAGGGGAGGGAAGCCCAGACATAATTAGAGGGAGGGGGATGGGGCTGGGGTGAGGGTGGGTGGGATGGTGATTGGTGGATGCAGATAGGGGGTTATTGTGGTTGGTCAGTGGGAAGGGTGAAGTGGATAGGTGAGTTGGAAGACGGACAAGTCGGGGGTGGAGAGATTTTGAAGTTGGTGAAGTCAATATTCATGCTATCGGGCTGTAAACTCCCAAGGCAAAATATCAGGTGTTGTTCCTCCAGTTTACGTTTGCCCCCACTCTGACAGTAGAGGAGGCCAAGGATGGACATGTCACCTGGAGAGAAGGAGGTATAGTTAAAGTGGATGGCAACTGGAAGGTCAGGTTGGTTGGTGCATGCAGAGCGCAAGTGCTCTGCGAACCGGTCCCTGAGTCAGCGTTTGATCTCTTGGATATAGAGGAGACCACATCGGGAGCAACAGATACTGTAGATGAGGTTAGATGAAATGTATGTGAATCTCTGTCGGAATTGGAAGGATTGTTTGGGGTCTTGGACGGAGGTGAGAGGAGAGGTGTAGGGGCGATTGCAGTTGTGGTGGAGAGGTTGGTGGGGATTGTGGAGCTGATGAGGGAGTTACAGAGTGAATGGTCCCTGCGGAAAATGGACAGGGGTGGGGAGGGAGATATCTTTTTGGTGGTGGGGTCTGATTGCAGATGGCGAAAATGTCAGAGGATGATGCATTGTATTTGAAGGTTGTAGGAGTGGTATGTGAGGACTAAGGAAACTCCATTCTTGTTGTTGTTGGGGGGATAGGGTTTGAGGGCAGAAGTGTGGGAAATGGGGGAGATACGGTTGAGGTCATCCTTAATAACAGAGGAGGGAGAACTATGGTCCCTAAAGTGGGAGGATTTCTGGGAAGTCCTTGAGTAGAACAACTCATTTTGGGAAGGCATATGGCATGCTTGCCTGTTTTGGTTGAGGAATTGAGTATAAGAGTCAGGACATCATGTTGCAGCTTTATAAGACTTTGGTTGGGCCACTCTTAGAGTACTGCATTCAGTTATGGTTGCCACATTACAGGAAGGTTGTGAAGGCTTTGGAGGGGGTGCTGAAGAGGTTTACCAGCATGCTGCCTTGATTAGAGGGTATTAGCTATAACAAGAGGCTAGAAAAACTCAGGTTGTTTTCTGGAGTGGCAGAGGCTGAAGGGAGATTTGATAGAAGTCTATAAAATTATGAGATTTATAGATAGGTATGCTGGTCTGAATGTTTTTCCCAGAGTTAAAATGTCTAAAACTATTTAAGGTGAGAGGGGGAAAGTTCAAAGGAGATGTGAGGGGAAAATGTTTTACGTAGAGAGTGGTAGGAGTCTGGAACACATTGCCAACGGTGATGGTGAAGGTAGATACAATAGGGGCATCTAAGAGACTTTTAGATAAGCGTATGAATTTGCAAGGAATGGAGGGATCTGGACCAAGGGCTGACAGGAGGGATCAGTTTAATTTGGCATCATGTTTGACACAACATCTTGGGCCAAAGGGTCAGTTCCTGTACTGTAGAGTTCTATTTTCTATGTAAGAGCAAAAAACATAGAAATTAACAGGGCTGATTTGCCCTTTGAGCCGTCTCCGCCATTCAACAAGATCTTCTACCTCAGATCCACATTGTCACATTATCCCAGATTCTTGAATCTTTTAGTACCCAAACCTCTTTCTTGAGCACTCATAGCTCTCTGGATAGAGAAGTCAAAAATTTCATGTGGTGAAGACCTCATCTCAGACCAAAATGATTGCCCCTTATCCTAGCACCCAAACTCCATGTTCTAGATTTCCCAGCCAGTGGAAACATTTTCTCAGTAATATTCTGTGTGATCCTTTTAGAATTTCCATGTTTTAATTAGATCACCTAATGGGTCTTTTTTTATTGGAACGTGATTAAGCCTGCACTTTACTGACTGCACTTTCTTACCTAATAAACTCTTCCGTTGTTAAACACTATTTGGAGGAAGTATTGAAGATAGCAAGGACACATAATGGACTCTGAGTGGGAAACTTTGGTGTACCATCGCTGACTGAGCTTGAACTTTGAAGGGCATAGCTAGCTTACGTACTGGGCTTGCAGTAGATAGTATGAGAACCAGCACAGATACTAACCTTTGGCCAATTTGATTTGTTCCATATGCACTAGACACAGCAAAACTGTAGGCATCCTGTAGCAAGGTGCAGGGCTGGATGAACACAGC